ATGTGAGCATGTCCCTCCATTTTACATTCCATTATTTAACTCTAAAAGGTTATTACTACTGACCTTAGTATAACGTTGCCTGGCGAACTTCTTTCGTGCTTTTAGGGTAGATTTCAGTACTAGCAGCACCGGTTTGATTCTTTGTCTACACCTGTGTCTTTAGGATGCTTTAGCACTACACGTGAAAAATTTCATGTCACACGGACACGAGAAAGCACTGGGTTGAGAGCAAGGTGGTAACTGCAAAACGGTATATGAAAAAAAAACAGATGATCTTTTTAAAAATATTTTTTTGACGTCATAAACACCTCCTCTAAGATATTTATCTCGGAGATAAGAGACAATGCAGGGGCATAGCCAGGAAATGAAACTCCGGGCGCATGCCCTTCCCAATATTTTTTTCTGCCGTGGAATACGCAGCTCTAAACGACAGTGCCCCCCCCCACCCCACCCTTTCAAATAAAAAAAAAACGTGCCCCCCTCCCTCCTGAAACGAATTTATGGCTACGCCACTGCGACGATGGCATACTATAATCGCCTCTTATTTCAGTATCTTGGTATAGGAAGCACACAACTTTGACAACGAGAATACGAGAGAAAAGATACAAGCGCTTACTGTTATTAATTTTTTATTGTTTATGAGGTTCCCTCACTGGTGCCGCCCTTTCTCACCATCAACACTAATCGCAAACGACCACTTTCTTCTCATCTTCGCCGACTTTCGCAAACATCTGTCTCAACCTCGCCTTATGCAGTGATACGAACAGAGATAAAGGCGCCCTCGTCAGAACGGTTTCTTGTGCGGCCAAGCTGATTGATTGATAGTGGGGTTAAACGTCCTAAAACCACCATATCATTATGAGAGACGCCGTAGCGGAGGGCTCCAGAAATTTTGACCACGTGGGGTTCTTTAAGGCGCACCCAAATGTGATCACATGGGCCCACTGTATGTTTACCTCCATCGCGTGGCAAAGCTTTACTCGAATTATCGCATAGCCATGCAAACTTCGCGTACTTCAACACCTGCTACCGAAAAATGCGACAAACGTGGCACTCACAAATTTCGTTTCACGTCATTTGGCGCTTTCGCTGAATGTGCCTGTATCTCCGTCTCATTTAGGGGCCAAGCTCCTTAAGGTCGAGGCTGTGTCATTTAGGCTCGTCCGTTGGCGGCGTTGGCGTGAGCCGTAGCAATGATGACGCTGGTGACGATGAAGACGATGACGATCACGGATAACGACTGGCTTGTGCAGTAAGTGACGTGTCTATGTGCTCTACGATGCATTTCGTATGACTGGAAACGACCACCAGGGGAACACACCTGGACCTCGCCTTTGCCAACTTCAGGCTAGATTCGACTCCACAAAGGAGAAAAAATTGAGGTAAAACTAAATTTGTTGTAGGCCCGTGTGCTCAGATTTGGGTGCACGTTAAAGAACCCCAGGTGGTCTAAATTTCCGGAGCCCTCCACTACGGCGTCTCTCATAATCATATAGTGGTTTTGGGACGTTAAACCCCACATATCAATCAAGGTAAAACTAAATTCACAACTCGACACAACAAACCAGCTATAACCAATAAAGAATGTATCTAATTGCCCACCGCTTTGTCGCTGATTTACATGCGTGGGTGGTCAACGTTACGGGTGAATAATGGTAACACAGAACGGTCCCATTGCTTCGTCTTCTCGTCATCATTCACTTCGTGGATATGTCACATTTTTCTTTAAATCTTAGTAGTTCTTTATACCTTTTTTTAAGCATGAGAGTGGCGTCTGGCGCACATTCTCCGAAGATATTGACGTTTATTTATGACTTGGCTGAACCATTTTTGACATAAAATAATTTGTAACGGCACTTCAAATTGTTACGCATCCCTATCATTCGAAGAGTACATTGCACGCTCATAGTGTCTGTCTATTTGACGAAATTGTGAAGCTATTTTTCAGGATGCTACTGAAAAGACACCTAGTTGCTTACATTTTCACGTGCGTCCCGCGAAAAAGACGAAGGCGACAGCGCATAGGCACTTCTGCAGGCTTTTATGCAGAACGCAACAACGAGAAAGACGAGGAACTTTCTGGCGCGCGGTTAATAAAAAGACTGTGCGCCAGAGTATCAAGGATCATCATCATTATCATCAAAAAGACTGACCCGCTGCTGCTTTCTCAGTGCCTTCAAATACGACCTCTGTCTTCACATCGCGACACTGGTGGAGGCAGCAAGAAGACGACGAAGCGGAAGATGTCTGCGTGGTTCACTGCCTGCGTCTCCCTGTTGGTGGTCGTGGGCGGAGGAGCGCAGTCGGCCGCGGCCAGTGAGCAGTCTGAGTGGACCTTCGTCAAAGGTGCCCCTGCATTGACTCCGCTCATGTGGGCTGTCGCGGGTCTCTAGTGGGAGGGCTTCAGTGTGCCGCTTTTACTGCTCTCTTAGCTTGACCATGTACACTTTACTGAAGCGGCCACACTCGTGCGGATGCACACAGGCTGTTTTCACTTCGAGTTTTTTACTTTAACGTAAAAAAATTATTTGCTTTGAATTAGGCTACCTACAACAACATACAATCTACTTATTACTTGACACGTGCAGGTAGTTCCGCTTGGAAGGACCCACTATGGTGGTTTAGTGGCTAAGGTACTCGGCTCTTGACCCGCAGGTCGCGGGACCGAATCCCGGTTGCGGTGGTTGTATTTTTGATGGAGGCGAAAATGCTGCACGCCCATGTGACCACATTTAGGTGCATGTTAAAGAACCCCAGGTGGTCGAAATTTCCGGAGCCCTCCACTACGGCGTCTTCATAATCATATGGTGGTTTAGGGACGTTAAACCCCACATATCAATCATCAATCAGTTCCGCTTGGCAGATCTCAAAACGACACGTGCCTTATATGGGCAGTGCTTTTAATATACCGAGGACCTTCGACGTATTTTCCACCTGGGTTTATGGTATGCTTGCTTCAGTTGAAACAGGTGACTATGGGTCAACACCATATATTTGTACTTTGAAACAGCCTGCCTATTTTCGGGACAGGAAGAAAAAAACAACAACCAAGCCAGCCAATATTTTTAAATAACCGGCGGAAGACAGCGCAATTTTTCTCAAGAGCTGAATTATATTAAGCCTTTCGCATGGCTTGCACGGCAAACCAAAATGTGTAAATGGATAATGAACCATCTGATTGTGACTTAGTTTTTTTGTGGGTATATGAAATTGAAGCAGGCCAGTGTTCCTGCTTGTCCATTTTCTATAGGAATCCCAAGTATCCCATTTTCTACAGGCTTCAAGGACATTTATTTCTACGTTGTTTTGCCTTGCACTGCGCAAGTCTGTTTCATTTCGAGCAGTCGAGTCAGAAAAAGCAGCAGGGACTTGGAGGCGATGTAGTGGCGTCGTATTTTACATTTATCTTCTTGTGCGTAAAGCAGCGATAGGCTGCGCTGTAGTGCCTGCTTGTACAGTTAGCGACAACACTATCTTGCCGGCAAAATGATAGGAGATGCTTGCTATGCCCCGTGATGCGCATGCGCTTTTGCCGCAAAGCTGATGCTCACGAGACACTAATAACGGCGCTGTTACAGCGAAGGCCTTAGTGGCAGTGTATTTCTCCCAATACCGACCTCACACACACACAAAAAGAAAATAACTAAACGGAGTCAGCAGTTACTGAAACGAGAAGTGCGTACTTTTGTTGATATCACTCATACGACCATAGAGCCGAGCATGCGTCTCAGTAAAGAACAAGCACAAAGAAGCACCCGAAGTCCTAGTGCTCCCCGCCCTCGTTTACTGGCGAGGATTTCTGTGGCGCGAACTAGCGCATAGACATCAACTTGAGACCTGGGGAATGACGTCACTAGACTTTCCAGGTCCATATCCAGAGCGGCAGGGGGAGGGAGAAGCTAGGAGCCCGGCCTTGCCCCTCCCATTCGATATTCAGAGAAGGTGGTGTTTTACTGAAAAAAAAGTGATAAAAAATAGGGTACTTTTCAAGATTTTCAACAAGTGGGCCCCCTTCTCCCCCCCCCCCCCCCCAAAAAAAAACAAACATCCCGGTTACGGGCCTGAGCCTTTCGCATGCCAATGAACCAACCTAAATATTAAAACACTAGCGGTTACCTTCAGGGATAAATGTTGAATCTCGATGAGAAGAATTGGTTCCTACCGTTGGTCACGGACAACTTCAGAGTTCACGTGCTGCAACGAACCTAACCAACCAGCCACTAGGTACAGATGGCGTTTAGATTTTTCTGGGCTACACGAATGTAGCGAAAGTGCTCGCTGAGCTCATGACGTTGTGCCACAGCGACCAGAAAGTGATCATCACTATTATTACTTTCCTGATGTTCTGCACTAGTATACTTTCCTGATGTTCTGCCCATTCAGTGTGTATACTTCAGTGTTTATACTCAATGTGTATACTTTATTTGTGTTGTAGTTAATGCGACTAAATGTGATTTAGTGTGACCTAATGTATTGTACTTTATCTCGTGTTGTACTCACTCCTGCAATATCTTGCTGTGCAAGATGCAGTATTTGTAAATAAATATTTGTAAAATAAATTACTTGAAAGCAATGACGCATTCACGCCCGTAGCCAGGCCCAAATTCGGATGGAGGGGGGGTAGCTTTACCAAGAAAAATAATGCATAGACGTGTCTTTCAAGGCCTTCAACAAGTGCCCACCTACCCCCCCTCTCCTTACCCCGAAAAAAATTCCTGGCTACGGGTCTGGACGCACAACACTGCCCACTCCACCTAAGCAGTTATAGAGGTAGTTTTCGACACGTTCAATGGATATTCACTTCCTCCGAGTCGAGATGGCGAGTCATTTTCCTTTTTAGAACTCACTGAAGTTTTCACCTGAAAGCAGAGTTATCAAAGCTTCGTGGATGTTAGCAGTCTGTTCGTGCTCGCGTTATCTGAGGTAGTTCAGCGATATAGTTTTGTTGCATTGCTTTATGCCGTTCCTGGGTGTGGCGAGGTGGAGAACGGCAGAGAGCCCAAACGCACGACGACGCTACACGCATTCATTATTTGCCGACTCGGGCAATACATGACACCACGGTTTCAGCAAAAGGTAAACTAAGGAATATACAATCACTGCCAGCGTGTGCTCTGGCCGTCTCGAGGTGTAGTTAGCATTCATGGGTGCGTCATGTTTTAAGGGCAGCCAAGTATATCCCGTGGTGTCGGTCTTTGTTACCACCGCTGCTCACCATGTATTCACTTGAACTGTGTGTCATGCAGGAGCCTGCGTCTACCGCCACCTGTTGTTTCCCAATGGATCCAACTTCACGTTCCTCAACCCCTGCGAGATGGTCATTTGCAACGCACGCAAACGTATGGTCTACTTCAAGCGGTCAGTTGAATTGCCATACGTCCAAAAATTTTTTTGGTCGGCTGGGCATCGATCGAACGAACGCTTGAGCATAATTAAAAACTGGCGTATTTCATTTTTTTGCCGAGTTTCTGAGAATATATATACAGTAAACAAAAGGAGAAAAGCTCACATATTCCACGTGTGCGATTTTGAATCCTGACTAGCCATGCTGAGAAAGCTTATTCGAATTAATCCAGACGTGCGAAATAGCTTCAACTTAGTACGTTTATTAACACAACTGTGTTAGCAACTGATGATCGCAAGGTTGAGCCTTCGGTTTCGTATAGAGGTGAATTTACTACTTAGATTCAAAAATAAATGTAGAGAAATCCCATATTTTGCATATATTGCAGCTGTATTGTTTTAATGTTTATAGTTGAAATTATGCAGGCTCTTGGCGGGGCATTCAGAAAGGAAATATATGACAAATATGTGCTCCGATTTGCACAGTAGTGACAATGTAGACATGAATGAGTTGGCTGTCGCACGCTTTTGTCGTTACTACTTCCTATGTTAGTGTATATCCTTCATATATGGAATGTTATGTGGTATCTGGAGTAGAAAATAAATTCGTAGACAACTCAATTATTGGTGGGAAGTTGCATGAAGACAATGCTGCAGTTATAACAGCGGATAGCCAATATTAGCTGACATGAGCCGTAACTCAGCCAACATTACTTAGTACTAGCAATATGCGAGAAGGAAAGGTAGTTGAACTTTCGCGGAAATTATCGTTGACGTCATCATAACCCGTGGCAGAACGAATAAATGGCTGGAAATAGATCAGGAAAACTTGGTCTTCAAAATGAGATTTGAACCAAATTACACTCGAGGCAATTTATCTGTAGCGTTGAACGTTAGTGATGTCAATACGTCAGAAAAGTAGGAAAATATATCCTTAACATGGTCAGGGCTACGTCAATAACGACGTGAATACAACTACGACGCTCCGCGTGACACCTTCGTCAAGGTCGCGAAAAAGCCTCGGATGACATGCTTATTTTGCCGAATGATCCTTGCTATCCTTTCCGCTACCAGGGCTATCAAAGTAGGCGGTACGCAATAATGCTGCCTTAGTGCTATGCACGCCTGCGTCATCATCCTAGTGCAACAGCGAATAAACCCTTGGTGCGCAGGTGCCCCAAGGTGATCTGTCCTCACTGCGACAGCCTCTGTCACGTCGTGAAACTGAAGGGCTCTTATCCGAACTGCTGCGAGCAGGTCGTCTGCGATACGCACCGCGCCTTCAAGCTAACGTGACTGCCGCCTCGAGGAGGGACTCGAGGCCCTTCTACCCTTTTTGCGCTAATGCGGAGAAAGGAAACCCTCGGTCTTTTCTTTATAAGCACAGCACTGATGTCGTAGGTAGTGAAACATTCACAGTGTATATTGTTCTTTACAATAAAGCTAACAATAATGTAAAGAGCTGTCTGTGCATTTTTTCCTTGCATTTACATAAATATATCAAAATGACTTAAAACTGGAGATATGGTGGTGTAATGTCACTTTAATGATGAGATTTTGTGTACTGGGCGTGGCGATTGCAGCAAAATTTGAAAAAAAAAAACACCGCACAACAAGGTTGTCATGACTTTCCCTTTTTTTAGCGCATTTCCGGTGGAGGTGGAAATGTTGTAGGCCCGTGTGCTCAGATTTGGGTGCACGTTAAAGAACCCCAGGTGGTCGAAATTTCTGGAGCCCTCCAGTACGGCGTCTCTCATAATCATATGGTGGTTTTGGGACGTTAAACCCCACAAATCAATCAATCAAATCAATCAATTCCTTTTTTAGCACAAACGCTGTATATGACTAGGAGAAACAAAAAAAAAAAAAACCGTTCGGCATGGGTGTCACGAGCGGTCTCCATTGGCTGTGCTATCAGTATTGCGTCGTTCTCAGCGTCGTACCGAAGCACGCTTACCATTGGCTGCGTTGTGATTGACGTCGTACATCTCGTCGCCGCAGTGGCGCCGAGCGCGCGCGCATCAGTGAACTTCCATGTGGGTACGTAAGCCATTGACAACTCTAGAAGAACGCCGACAGTGAAAACGTGAGAGTGCTCTCATTCACTGGGCCGATCGTGCAGTCCGAGCACAAAAACAAGCCCGGGAGGGTGCGTTCCACCATCAAAGTCTTACCGATGATCCGGCAGCCTTCCAAGCTGCGCTAAATCGCGAACGGGAACACAAGCACCGGTGACGGGCGGGTCCTGCAAGCCACGCCGCCGAGTTAGCTCGCGATGTCAAACGCTTGCAACAACGCCACGCTGTTGCAGAAACTACTGCGTCAACGGGATGATGGCGGGAGCGCGTTCGCTGGGGGGAACGCCTGCATTTGGCGGCACTTTCTCTAGCGGCGCATTGTCTTCGGTTGCGACGTCCATGGCCACCTGCGCTTCGAGAACAACTGTGATTAAGGCATTGCGAAACACACCTAACTGCTCATTACACTCTTCTATGGCCGTGATCATGCGACGCACAACGTGCGGCATGGGAAATAAACACTGTGGTTAACCCAAGCCAAACGTGTGCCTAACATCATTAAGAAGCATAAACCTGTAACCTATAATTGTAAAATTCTTCTGTACAGCGTCGGGTTGAACCCGCTGCCAAACACTGGGAACACAGGTTTTAGCTTTCGGAGGGTATTCACTTGTGCGTAGTGCTTGGGTGGTGATATTCTTATTTTTATTATTTAGGGTACACCAGCGTCTGCCCGGTGCTGCGCAGTTCCCAACCGAAAAAAAAAATCACGTGTTGATGGAACTACAATAAGAGGCCTGAGGTGCGGCCTCACCGGTAACCACCGCCGGGAACGCACTCCCTCACCAGAGAAGGATTGGCCACCCTGGTGCAGTATCTGGCCACTACCTCCCACATGGATACGCCAAATAACTCACGGCCCTCAGTCCCCAGCAGCTGCGAAGCAACTGACCGCGGCGGCAATGCAGCAGAGGGTGCTAAGAATCTCTGGATCTGGACAGGCCGCCATTGGAACCTGAACTTGGCAACGTTTAACGCTAGAACCTTATCTAGTGAGGGAAGTCTAGCTGTACTATTCGAGGAGCTAGAGGGTGTTAAATGGGATATAGTAGGGCTCAGTGAGGTTAGGAGGACAGATGAGGCCTATACGGTGCTACAGAATGGGCACGTCCTTTGCTATCGGGGCTTGGCAGACAGAAGAGAACTGGGAGTGGGGTTCCTAATTCACAGAAACATAGCTGGCAACATAGAGGAATAATATAGCATTAATGAAAGGGTGGTAGGTATTGTATTTAAACTGAATAAAAGATACAAGATGAAGGTAGTACAGGCTTACGCGCCTACATCCAGCCATGATGACGCTTCAGTTGAAAGCTTCTATGAAGACGTAGAATCGGCAATGAGTAAGGTAAAAACACAGTATACTATAGTGATGGGCGACTTTAATGCAAAGGTAGGGAAGAAGCAGGCTGGAGACCAGGCAGTAGGAGATTATGGCATCGGCACTAGAAACGCCAGAGGAGAGCTACTAGTAGAATTCGCAGAACGCAATAATTTGCGGATTTTGAATACCTTCTACCGAAAACGAGAAAACCGCAAGTGGACATGGAGGAGCCCTAATGGCGAAAATAAGAACGAAATAGGCTTTATAATGACCGCACACCCAGGAATCGTGCAGGATGTGGAAGTGGTTGGCAAGGTACGATGCAGTGACCATAGAATGGTACGATCTCGAATTCGCCTAGACTTGAAAAAAGAACGACAGAAACTGATACGCAAGAAGCCAATCCATGAGCTAGCACTGAGAGGGAAAGTACAGGAATTCAGAGTATCGCTGCAGAACATGTACTCGGCTCTTAGTGAGGAAACCAACCTTAGCATAGATACAATGAATGATAATCTGACGAGTACCATTACGGAATGTGCAGTGGAAGTTGGAGGCAAGGTAGTTAGACAGGACACTGGCAAGCTTTCCCAGGAAACGAAGAACCTAATTAAGAAGCGTCAAACCATGAAAGTGTCAAGTACCACAGACGAAATAGAACTGGCAGAGCTTTTAAAGTTGATTAATAGACGTAAAGTATGCGATGTAAGAAGGTATAACATGGAGAGAATTGAACACGCTCTGAAAAACGGAGGAAGCTTCAAAGCAGTGAAGAGGAAACTTGGGATACGCAAAAGTAGGATGTATGCACTAAGGGATAAAGAAGGCAAGGTAACTACCAATATGGATAGGATAGTTAAAATAGCGGAGGAGTTTTACAGAGATCTGTACAGTAGCCGAGACAACCACAACCTTAATACTATAAGAACTAGCAGTAACCCAGACGACACCCCACCAGTAATGATAGAAGAAGTCAGAAAAGCTTTGGAGAGCATGCAAAGAGGCAAAGCTGCTGGTGAGGATCAGGTAACATCAGATTTGCTGAAAGATGGAGGACAGATTGTGTTAGAAAAACTAGCCACCCTGTTTACGAGATGTCTCCTGACGGGAAGGGTACCAGAGTCTTGGGAGAACGCTAACATCATCTTAATACATAAGAAAGGAGATGACAAGGACTTGAAGAATTACAGGCCGATCAGCTTGCTCTGTGTAGTGTACAAGCTATTTACAAAGGTAATTGCTAACAGAGTAAAGAAAACATTAGAATTCAATCAACCAAAGGAACAAGCAGGATTTCGAACAGGCTACTCAACAATTGACCACATTCATACTATCAATCAGGTAATAGAGAAATGCTCGGAGTATAACCAACCACTATACATAGCCTTCATAGATTACGAGAAGGCGTTTGATTCAGTAGAAATATCAGCCGTCATGCAGACACTTCGGAATCAGGGCGTAGATGAAGTATATATAAACATTCTGGAAGAAATCTACAGGGGATCAACTGCTTCTATAGTGCTTCATAAAGAAAGCAACAGAATACAAATCAAGAAGGGTGTGAGGCAGGGGGACACAATCTCCCCAATGCTATTTACCGCGTGCTTACAGGAGGTTTTCAGAAGCCTAGAATGGGAACAGTTAGGGATAAGAGTTAATGGAGAATACCTTAGTAACCTGCGCTTCGCCGATGACATTGCATTGCTGAGTAACTCAGGGGACGAATTGCAACTCATCATTATGAAGTTAGAGAAGGGGAGCAGAAAGGTGGCTCTTAAAATTGATCTGCAGAAAACGAAAGTAATGTACAACAACCTCGGAAAAGAGCAGCGATTCGAGATAGTTGATAGTGCACTTGAAGTTGTAAAAGACTATGTCTACTTAGGGCAGGTAATAACCGCAGAGCCTAACCACGAGATTGAAGTAACTAGAAGAATAAGAATGGGGTGGAGCGCATTCGGCAAGCACTCTCAAATTATGACAGGTAGATTGCCATTATCCCTTAAGAGGAAGGTATATAACAGCTGTATCTTGCCGGTACTTAGCTACGGAGCAGAAACCTGGAGACTCACAAAGAGGGTTCAGCTTAAATTGAGGACGACGCAGCGAGCAATGGAAAGAAAAATGGTAGGTGGAACCTTGAGAGACAAGAAGAGAGCGGAGTGGATTAGGGGACAAACGGGGGTTAAGGATATCAGAGTTGAAATAAAGAAGAGGAAATGGACATGGGCCGGGCATGTAGCGCCTAGACAGGATAACCGCTGGTCATTAAGAGTAATTAACTGGATTCCCAGAGAAGGAAAGCGGGTTAGGGGGGAGAGAAGGTTAGGTGGGCAGATGAAATTAAGAAGTTTGCGGGAATAAATTGGCAGCAGCAAGCACAGGACCGGGTTAACTGGCAGAACATGGGAGAGGCCTATGTGCTGCAGTGGACGTAGCCAGGCTGATGATGATGATGATGATGATGATGATGATGATGAGCGTCTAAGTAGTTATGCAGGTAGCGAACGATGTATGCTTGGCTGTTGGCACAAAAACACGGGTTTGATGCGGCAGTCGCATTTCCCTAGAAGCGAAATATTACATGCTACGGTAGCGTAGGTCAAATAACTCCAGGTAATTGACATTTATGGAGCCTACGGCGTACCTCATAATCATACCGTGGTTTTAGCATGTAACATCCAGAAATGATTCTGAACTAACGATCTCATCCTAATGACCGACCAACTGGACCAACAAATGACGAAAGAAACAGACAAAACAAAAACAAACTGAAACAAGTAATTTATGAGTAATGTACGACTGGTCACATTTCTTACAACTGTGCTTACTTTCACAGTGTAATTTCAAGCAGTCTTTATGTTTATCTACC